TGAGAGTGAAAATTTGTGAGGGTCGTTAAACCCTTAAGAATTAGTTCTGCGGCTAACTATAGAGGGGTAAATTGGATATTTAAAAAACCTTCTTTTAACAAAAAGAAAAGTCCCCTTCTTAAAGCTTTTTTAACATCTAAAAATAGATAATCTATACAACATAATATCAATCATAGATTTTCAACCAAGTAGTTATATACAAAATAAATGCATAAAATAAAGTGCAAAAAAATAAAATAAAAAAGAACACAACAGATTTATAGTGGTTTGACCCAACCACTCCTTAGAGGTACCCACCAGATATTGTACTAAATCTTTAGTAACTATCCTTTAGCCAGCACAGCTAGGCGGAGAAGCCCTTACAAAATGACTTCCACCATCACCGATGCGATGGAGTAGCTGGGTCCTTTGATACTAAAGAGATATTCTTCTTCCCAAAACTTTCCTCAAGACGAATCTTGAATTCGATGGTACTAAGTGTAAGCTTGCCGGAGCAACCGTATGAAATCCCCTCAACACTCCTTTGAAACCACCTCTAAGGATCTTCTCTCTCTCAAACTCCACCCTTTCCTCTCTCTCCCTTTCAAGTTCTCTCTTCAAGTTTTCCCAGAATAACGAAGATATAATGGCTGCCAAATGCACTTACCAAGTGCCTTGACAAAGCTTAAATAGAGGGATTCAATAACCCTAAAAATTCAATTCTATCAATAAAGATCATACAGTATAATGTGCAAAATTTGACCTGATAGTTCTTAATGATCTCTGGATAGTCTAGTAAGATCATTTTAAATTTGTACAAATCATCAAGTATAATATTTATATCATCTAGGATGATTAGTTCAATCGAAATGTAGTTCGTCCAAGATAAAATATGGGATGACAAAATTCATCTCTATTGATCATACAATACGATCCAATCATACAGTATGATCAAAATATCAAAATTATAATAAAAACAAAATTTGAAATTCAAAATCTTGCCTAAATTATGATTGGCAATTATTTTTTATAAACATAATTGATCGTCTTGGACAATCTAGATTGCCCAGTACGATTAGTTAGATAAGATGATAGTATAATATGATATTAATCATATAATACGATTAGTTCAAAAATTAAACTTCTAGTTTTGACTCAATCTCACACCCACTGAGTGTGTGTGTGCATGATCACCAAGCCAGCATACACGCTTAAAGGACTTTAATCAAGAAATCAAAAATATATTAATAAATATTATAAAAATCATTACAGCATAACCTATTCTATCCAATCTTGAGCATTGCATCTTCGTTGTATGGTGCATGGTGTTCTTGAAAAATTAGTACACACACAAATAAAAATATATTATAAATACAAGTAGACAACAAGATGTGAGCAATAATGTTTGTTATCCACAAAAATATAAACTCGTGAGCTCGAGTTGCAACAGAAAGTCCGGAGAAGATCGATGGCTGGGCGATGGACGAGGAGGAGCTTGGTGGCAAGGGAGATCTCATATTTTTGTTCTTTCTCCCTCTTTGGCGACAGAGGACGGAAAGACTGTAATCACGAGATGGTGGTCAGAAGTACAATATTTTGAATCAATAATAGAAATTTTTAAAAATTTTATTGCCATTTCTTCCAAATTTTTCTTTTACATTTTTTATTAATATCTATATAAAAAAATAAAAATAAGAAAATATGCTATAATAATAATAATAATAATTTATATCATATACTAATTTTGTTCACCACACAGACATAAAATAGGTAGATTTGAATCAAATTATGAAAAAAATCATCCTTGCTTGTCTACTTTTGTTTCGCATTTTATTTATTGCATTTGATTTTACTTCATTCTTCAATATTTAATTAAAGCCAATGTGTAAATATGTCAAATTAGCTTTTAGATTTTTTAAATAGCATACTTTAGCCATGAATTAGTATTAGAACCTTAGCTCTTATGCTTAATTTTACTTTCAAGATTGGATTCCTATACAACCCTATGACAAATGAATTCTAGGGGTGTCAGTAGAGAACAATTATTAGGTCAGGTGACCTGACGTAGCTCTACATTCGGACACCATAATATGTCGGCACGTGCTCTTAATCTTTACCACGCGGCCCGACGACCTGACCCGGGATTGCTATGTTCGTGTATTGCTCTAGGTATTGCTCAGTATTGCTTAGTATTACTCGGTATTGCTAGGTATTGCTTGGCAATAACGAGAAATACTGCTCTGTCAAGACCAATACCGAGCAATACCGAGAAATACCGAGCAATACCGAGCAATACGGAGAAAAACTCAGTATTGCGCGGTATTGATCTTCACAGAATGATATTTCTCGTTATTGTCGAGGAGAATCGACCAATACCTAGCAATACCGAGTAATACCTAGCAATACGCAAACATAGCAATCCCGGCTCGGTTCGGGTCGGGTTGTCAAGCCGTGCGTTAAATAGTGAGAAGGCACTAATTTACTGGCGTCCAAACGTAGAGCTATGTTAGGTGACCAAACCAAATAAAAGTTCATAGATGACCCAATTCAAAAATCAAACTCGGACTTCACATGATAAATATGGGTTTGGATTGACCTTAATATGTATGTATCTATGAGTGGAGTGCATAAATAAATTTATGTTTGATTCCTAGCAATTTCCAAAGTACTTTTTCAAAAGCACAAGAAAAAAATTAACAATCTTGTAAAAAATAATAGTGGAAGAAAGACCGTGACACCAAATTATCTCTTTAAATAATAGTCTAGTCATAGCATGTGTTTCAAAGAATAATCTCTTTAAAGCACAAGAAATAATCAAGGAACATAAATTTTGAATTTCCTAATAAACATTATTAAAATGTGGCTAAATAATAAATTTAGTAAATCTTCTAGGTGATGTTCAATCTATAATTGTGTTAACTATTAGTGCATCAAATTTGAGGCCAACAACAAACACAATAAATGCAATGTAAAAGGAACGAAGTATAAAATGAATAAATTGTAAAATGAGTACAATGGAGTTCCTTGGATGAATGTAAAGTAAATACATGTGAATATTTTTATTTTGTAAGAAATAATGAATGCAGTGTAAAATTCAAAGATGATGGCTACCCGTGAGTGGCGACAATGACAATGGTTACTGATGGAGACCAACTGTGGTGGCCGCCGGCGGGTGGCAGCGGTCGTGAGTGGTGGTGGCATGCAGTAAGTGGTGGTGATTGGTGGCGGGTGTTATTGACCGACGAAGGGTGGAGGCGGGGATCAGCAGTGGTGATAGCCAGCAACAGCGGTGGATGGCGGTGAGCGACGACGATGACATTGTTGGTGGTCGGTGACTATGGTGGGCGGTAGTCAACTGAGCTTGCTAGTGGAGTACACGATTCTCACTTAAAATTTGGCAAGCTTGATTTAATACAAAAATGAACTAAAATTATTTACACTACATTTATTTTGCATTCATGTTTCATCCGACCAAACATTAATATTTTCAAAACTTCTACATTTGAAATACTTTATATCACTTTATATACCAACCGAACAATCCCCAAGTGTAAAGCCACTCATTCCCCTGAGCATCCTCATCTCTGCAACACTCAACTTGAATTTATGCTCCTCTTTTAATAGCCAACATTATGTGCCATAATGCATCACAGGTCTCACGACCATGCATCTTATAAATTTTCCTCTTAAGTTAGAGTGATACTTTTTTATCACATAGTAGACCCAATGCATTCCTCCACTTAATCATCCAACTTTAATTCTACTAATAATATTCACATGTATTTCATCAACATTTTGAACAATAGACCCAAGATATCTAAAACGTACTCTTTTTAATGATTTGATCTGCCAATATCACAATTCACCACTAGATTTATTACTACTAAAACTACAATCTATGTATTTGATTTGAAATCTTCTCAAATGAAACCATTTAGACTTGACCTCCATAATTAATTTTTTTCCCATCAACTCCCTCTCTAGTCTTATCAACAAGAAGAATTCCATCACAAAAACAAACATATACTAATGTATGACCTCTTGCAAATGCATGGTAAAAACAATCATGACTAGAAAAAAAAGATATAGGCTTAGAGCTATTCAACTCCAAATATTCATGAGTATTGTATAGTCATAATTGAAAAAAGCATTATTATAAATGTTTAAAAGCTCAATTGTATTTTTAATCCTTTAATTATATTTATTTAATAATTGAATTATATTGTCTAGTAGTTTAATTATATTTTTGGATAATTTAATTATATTAAATGATAACACATACATACAAAATTAAGAATACATATCATAAAAATATGTCTATTCATATGTTAAATATAATTGGGCATCCTAACCTTTTTTTTTTGGATCTGAAGGCACCAATGACTAGAACAAAAAGATATAGGCTTAGAGCTATTCAACTCCAAATATTCATGAGTATTGTATAGTCATAATTGAAAAAAGCATTATTATAAATGTTTAAAAGCTTAATTGTATTTTTAATACTTTAATTATATTTTTTTAATAATTGAATTATATTGTCTAGTAGTTTAATTATATTTTTGTATAATTTAATTATATTAAATGATAACACATACATACAAAATTAAGAATACATATCATAAAAATATGTCTATTCATATGTTAAATATAATTGGGCATCCTAACCTTTTTTTTGGATCAGAAGGCACCAAACTATGGGTACTTCAAAGGCAATAATTGAAAATCGATTTTTATTTGTCTTGTAATATTTTCTTCTCTGAAAAAAAAAATTTACAAGGCTCTATAGCAGCTTTTGGGATAATGTTAGCACTGATTGGAACACGTAAGTATGCATTATACAGATCCTTAAGAAAAATATTTCATAATCTTTTTCCAAATCATAAAATGTACTATGTTTAGTTTCATAATTTTAGTATACAATAGTGTTTGAAAATTTACTTCTGAAGCTTAAATTTTTATAGGCAGAACTAAAATTGCCGAAAGCGATGTTTTTTTATTATATAAACTAAAATTAGGCGTGAAAAAACTCTGCATCTCTTCTTATTGGCGACGGATACAGGAGAAAATTAGAGAAGCTACGAAATAAAACTAAAGGAACATACAGAAAAAAAGTTACTTGTATGATAAAATAAAGCTTTCATGCCTGCAGCCGATCTAAGATAATTATACTGTACAAGACAGAGCTATCAAATGTCTCGCCTTAGATCATTATGCAAAAACTTACATGATCTCCCCTTCTTGCAATGGCCACCCTCATAAAATTTGCAGACTCCTCTGTGTCCATCCCCTCCAGTAAAAGCTTGATGGGGCCTTGATGAACCTCTGCCATCTGATTGTGCCCTGCTATTCCTGAAATCACTCCCGCCGCGGCGACCAATATCTCTGTCTCTGTTATGAGAATAGCCATCGCCATTGCGGCCTTCGTAGTCCGAACGCCGGCTAGAATCTCTATCGGATGATTTCCAGAACTCGTTTCTACTCCCATATGCTGATCCCCAGCCAGCTCTCACACTGGCATCATTGTCATGCATTGGAACAGCTTCCCCAGCTGCAACAGGGTTCGAGTTTCCCAGCCCGGTAGTCGAGCTCGCGCCCCAGCCATTTCCTTGTGCGGCAGTTCCCCAACCTGTATTTGTATTTGCATTCAACTGGACAGGTAAACCCCAACCAATATTTGCATTTGCATTAACCTGAACAGGTGCAACCCAACCTGTATTTGCATTTGGTATCAGAGTACCCCAACCTGTATTTGCAGTTGCATTCACCTGAGTAGCAGTTGGCCCCCAACCTGTATTTGTATTTGAATTCCCCTGACTCAGTGTCCCCCAACCTGTACTAGCATTCGCATTCACATATGCCGGTGTGACCCAGCCGGCATTTCCTTGCGGCGCCCCAACCCAAGATGTATTAGCATTTTGTACCGTTGGTAATTTTTGGTTTTCGGAGGATACATTACTGGATGCACTTGAAGCGTCAACTCCCCAAGTATTCTTACTGCTTTTAGGAGTAGGAGATGGAAGGGAAGACTCCACTTCACTAGCCTTTTGTGGGTTCACCTGATGAATAGGTGAGAAATTTGAATCAGGATTTTGAGATTGATTATGCTCCATTCCATGTAATGATGGAGTGAGGTTTGAACCACCTGTGAATTGTTTCTGAACAGAAGCATGAGCAATTTCTTGGAATCCAGTATCTATTTTCTGAATAGAAGATAATTCTAACCTCTGAGCATGCCCACTGCCTATATCATCACCTGTAACCGCAACTGGAGAAGATACAAATTTTGTACCGTCCATCTTTTGCATGCCATTGCCAGGAATTTTGTCTGTAAAACCCACAGCTGAAGCTGTATTTGATGATTCAAAGATACTATTTGAAGGAAAAGAAGGATGAGTTGGATGGGCGGCCAAAGACGAGTCCAATATTCCGAGAGTAGTGGCCGCAGGCCCATGATTAACAGCCATGCTGCCTACAAGTGTTTCAGGTCTATTCTTGGAAGGGCCTGGTTCATCATGCCGAATGAAAGATTCCTTCCTCTCAGTTCTAGGAGTTGGACTTGGACAATCAGTTTCATAGGATTGATATTTGTTCATACGACCATGTAGTTCATTGGCACTGGTACTAGCAGTGACAATGGAGGGATCTGAAGTAAGATTGTCTTCAACCTTTTGACTTTCGCTAGGCATCCCAACACTGGGCCTAGTTGGACTCCAGATATTCCCATAATCCTGTTCCTGGTTCCATCCATTGCCATTTCCTCCTCTCCCTGCTTCTTGGTAGATTGGAATATGATATGGATTATTGTATATTGGGCCAGCAGGTCTGGGGTTGCCGGACCAGATGCTAGAGTATGTGCCAGCTGGCTTTCCCTCAGAAGAATTAGATATTTCAACTCCAGTTAAAGACCATACAGGTGGCTGTGCAGACAAACCTTCTAAAGTTTGTTGCTTCATATTTTGATGTGCATTCCAATTGCCTCTGGTCTGTTGGCTGTCTACCCACGCAGGCTGATCTGGAAAGCTGCCATGCTGTGTGACCAGCTGAGATGGGTCTTTATAAAATCTTCCAACTAGTACATCAGCCAATAATATGGAGTCTTCCTGCTTCTCAGAAGTTCTCCATATTTTCATATCAGGTGGGAAATATCCAGTAGTATTCCACTTGCGCAATTGTGATAGTGAAAATGGTCCTTGGATATTCATAGATGGATCTTGGTAGTGCCAAATTTTGTCAACCTCATTTGTAATAGATGGCAAAGAACCTTCAGGAGTCACCAAGTTAACTTCAGGAGCAGAACCATGTGATTGCCGTTCTAAAGATTTTTGAGTGAAGTTTCCCTGACTAGGACTCTGAAGACCATTAAAACTGCCCTCGATTTGGTACAGCTCTTTGCTTTGATTCCACAGAACTTCATTTGGTCTTTCAGCCATATTGTTATACATGTCCGATCTATCTTGCCAATTTTCACCCGGCATTCTTCTGCTTGATTCACGGTTGAAATTATGATTTTTATTCATGCCATTCCAGTTATTTCCTAATATACCTGCTCTTCCACGAGGAATCAACTCTCTTCTCTTTCTCAGAGATAAAACTTCCTTAGATCTAATCTGGTAATCTGCATTGATGCAATGAATAGCACAACAGAAATAGTGTTAAGACCCCTCAAATATAATAAAACATAACCATCAAATGAATATGGAGAGAAATTTTATCAAAAACTCCAAAATTAAACATGCTAATGCTGTAGGATTGCCAAGTTGGGTAATCGTCTAGGAAACTGTCAAAAAGAATAAACAGCGAGCCTTATTAGGCCAAAATTGAGAATATCAAGGTGCATAAGAGTTCAAGTTATTACAAATGACATCATAGAGCAACATACAAGATGAAATTTAAAAAACTAATAGTCATGCTGGAAAAAAGTGTTATGTTATGGGAGTCGCCTCTTGATCATATTTAGAAAATCATGTTAGGTGAATTATTTAAGCTATATAATGTTATTAGTGGGAGCATCAATTCTTTAAATAGGGGAGATTGCAAGATCTCTCTGGTGAAGCACGACTCTTAAACATTGAACTAATGTTGGTATAACGGTTGGAGTTTCATCAAGAATGCTAAAGTTAGCATGTTCATACCGAAGCACTCTTATAATGGGCGACCTTCCTAGCAAGTTACCCCAAGAGGATAAAACCCAGAATTCTATAGGGCCAAACTGCTAAAGCCGACAATATATTGATAAATTAGAGTTCAGGCTATTCCAAACTAGTACAAGCAATGCCCTAAGAGATGACATAAGCAGTAGTAACAATAAATACAAAATTATGCTCCAAAATCACCTTGATTTTTATCATCTTCCCCTTCCTCTGAAGACTCATATTCTGGATCCATCTTTGGATCAGCATGTATTTGAGGAATTTCGGTCAATCTTCTTCGACGCTCTTCCAGATTGTTCAGAAGCTGCAACTTTTCTACACATTCTCTAAGCGTAATATAAAGTCAAGGATTTCAACAACTATGCCTTTATGCTTGGGAGCCGTTAGCAAGAAAAAAGTTGTCAATAACAAAATTCTCTACAATTACACTTACTGATAAAAAAAATCCAAATTTTAGTAGAACATAGCTGGAAAACTGATCAACAATAGCATAAGCTAGAAGATATGACAATCCGGAGGAGAATTTACGGATAAAACGCCTACAAATAATAATGTGGAAGAAGAGATTGACAAAAGTCAAATAGAAAATATAATAAATCAAAATATATTATTCTGGAGATTATTTCACCAATTCTTATCTATCATAGAGGGAACTCGATCCAACAACTTTGATGATACAAGGAATTTAAATTTATCAATAAATTTTAGCAACAAAGGTAGCTGAAGGAGATTACAGGTGGAATAATGCCAACAGCTATGACAGCTGATGACAAGTAGTGATAAGAATATCTTTTCTATCACATATTTGAGTTTTGGGATAAAATCAAATCTGAGTTTCAACTTATCTACAATTGAACAAGGTTGATTTTGTGCCAACCTCTCTATTAAACAAAGATGGAGTCTATAAATGGATAGTTTGAAGCAATAAATGAGAAATTTAATATAATAAAATTTCATATTCCAATTTACAATTATGCAAATTGGATGTATAATTCCTTTTACGTGTGCTGCAAATAAAACTCCCTAATCATAGGGGGGAGTAATCTTCTTGTACCCACATGAGGCCAAGATTTCCTTTACTTTGATAAACTCTATCCTTTACCTAACTTCGTTTTTAATATTTTATTGCTGGCTTCTCAAACTTCTTGATTTTGTTAAAATTTAAATTCTAACTATGGCGAATAAATTGAAATTACTCATTAATTTTATATAGTTCCATTTCTAGTAGATTTTGTTCGTATTTATTCAATCATTATAATATCATTTGGGTACAACTTTTCGCATTTTCAAGTTTGCAGGTGGATAAAGTAAGTTTTCATATATTTAATGGTCTTTGATTTGTACATCCTAAATATCTTTGCATGTCTAAATTCATTTTATCATTCAAGTTTTAATAGAAGACCTAAACCCTAAATTGTTCCGCACCAATTTGGTATCAAAGCCTTTGGTGTCAACACGTCACTCAAAAGAGATGTTAATTATTAAGGATAATTTAACATATCACGAACGGAATGAGATTTTTTACCACTTTGTAAAACCAACTAGTAGAATGGTTAAAAAAGCAAAAGTAGATGTATGCTGACATTAATATGTTTAACACACACTTTGATAATTTGAAGGTTAATCAAGTTTATGCATGTGAAAATGAAGCAAATTCCATCAACAATGTGTGCCTATCCTATTGAATTTTCTACTAGTACAAGACAAGAAAATCTTCATGATGGGCAATTTAAGGGTGCTCAATAATGATGTTTGTAGAAACCACGCTGGTCAAAAATTTAGCATAGACATTGTAGACTATTTTAGACACATTAGATGTAGGTCTTTCACCTAGGTTGCCCGCATAGACTATAGGTTGCCTACTATCTCCCTTACACACACTAAGGAACTAGCACAGACCACAGGTTGCCGAATGGCTCCCTTGAACCCACTAAGGACCTAACACCAACATTAGGTTGCCTAGTGGCTACCTTGAACCCATTCAAGACCCAAAAGAAAGCACAAGTTAGTTAGTGCTCTCTTGAACTAACAAAGGACTTAACATAAACCATAGGTTACCTATTGGCTCTCATGAACCCCATAAAAACTTGATAGATCTGTGAATCCAAGGACTTGCCAATTAGCTGTTTGACATAGGATTGACTAGGCCCCAATGCTAATCAAGTTAAACTAAACTTAATAGTACCTTCTAAAAGACACTATCATCATAGAATGCAAAATGTAAAACTGCAGGAGCTTAAGCATACAAAACAATAATAGTTAAGGCTATAAACTGCAAGGATATTCTTTTCTGCGGCCAGTTTCACTTGCACGATCACGGAGATGGCTAAGCCGCAACTTTTCAGCTTCAATTGACTGCATAAAAAGTTAGAATACAGATAAAAAGCAATTTTAAGTAATTGATGGTACTGAATATTTGTAACAAAATCGAATTTGGCGACGAGCTTTACTGGAGCAAATACTATCTTAAGAAACTTACATCATTGACTTTCACAGCATGCAGAGCCTTGGCTTTCTCCTGAATGTAACCCTGAATCATTGAACAAATTAAATTGTAAAAAATTATGAACCAAAACCAGAAGTCACAGATTTGGTTGTCCAATGAAAAGTAGTTAAGCTCTAGCAGCTCATCTTACAACTTTTAGTCGATCAATAAGCCCACATTTAATGCTCTGTCTCAACCGTTGGCACTCCTCCTAGAAACAGCACTTATTAATGAGTATTGAAGAGGTCAAGAGGAGTATATTGAAATAGAAATACATTATGCAAAATGCACGGCTGTATATTTCCTTCACGAGTTTCCTTGCATAACAGTAACCCATTATTAGTATAATAAATTATAGAAGCCTCTAGTACGTTATTACAGGAAAAAAAGAAATCGAAAAGCATTGTTAGATACACGATACAACAACAACAACATCAAGCCTTTGTCCCACTACGTGAGGTCGGCTACATGAATCCTTTTTCTCCATTGTGTCATGTTAAAAGTCAAATTCTAATAAAGAAAGATCATTTCTAATATTTTCTAGCCAAGCCTTTTTAGGTCTACCTCTAACTTTCTTAACATAAGTCAAATTTAATACCTCTAATTTCCTAATTGGGTTATCGAAAGGCCGCCGTTTTATATGACCAAACCATCTAAGGCGACTCTCTCTAATCTTATCTTCCACTGGAGCCACTCCAACCTTTCACATATATGCTCATTTCGTATCCTATCACTAAGGGTAAAACCATTCATCCACCTAAGCATCCTCATCTCTGCAACACTTAACTTAGTATTATGCTTCTCTTTTAATGGTCAACATTCAGCACCATAAAGCACTGCAGGTCTCACCACCATTTTATATAATTTTCCCTTAAGTTTGAGAGGAACTTTTCTATCACACAACATGTCCGATGCATTCCCCCACTTCAACCATCCAACTTGAATTCTGTTGATAATATCCCCATCTATTTCACCATCACTCTGAACAATAGATCCAATATATCTAAAACGTGTACTCTTATTAATGACTTGATCGCCCAAAGTCATGATCTCGTCGCTAGGTCTATTACTACTAAATTTACACTCCATATATTCCATTTTAGATCTACTCAAGCGAAAACCTTTAGACTCTAAGGTTGACCTCCATAATTCAAGTTTACCTTCAACTCCCTCTCTAGTCTTATCAACAAGAAGAATATCATCAGCAAAAAGCATACA